CAATTTTTACTTGACTTTCATTGTGTAGAAACCATGACATGTTGGTGTCAAACTGACAACATGATATAATGAATCAAATGAGCAACAGTAAGTATAACAATTTCCAGCATCTGTAAAATAGACATGTAACCAGTTCTAAATTTGCACAATGAGTGTTAATTGGATAAACATGGCGTCAAGGATGGAGCCTTGATTGCTACATGTCTGGTTCTAATAAAATCTGGATTCAAATGCTATGCTGCATTTGGACAAATGGATGATAACATTTTAAGTCGGTTTTAGAAATGCACTGCAAATAGGTTTCCCCCTAAATATATGGGAAATCTAAAGTCTATCACCCCAAGTATTGCATCTCCAACCTAAATCCCTGACACAGACATGCAGTAAGTGCTAAGCATCTGCCTCTGGCGCAGCATCCAGGAGGCCAACCTCTCAGTGACCCAGTGAAATCAGCCAGAGGGGAACACCTCCATAATACATACTCATTGAAATAAACCTTTAACATTGTTAAAAAAGTCAATAACATCAAATGATATTCAGAACCACATCAGCTTACAGTCTAGGCCAAAGGTGCAGGAGTGATGCATTGCCTTGGTGCTGTTGCTGCAGTGCAATTCTCACAAGCAGTCATGGGCTCATATAGGGAAAAGCATTGTGCTGATTTATGAGCCTCAGAGCTTCCCAGCTGCAAAAATCTATAGAAATTCAGATGAGACAAGCATTGAAAGATCACCCCTAATCCTGTAAACAAAAGAACATGTTTGGCTGCTTGCAGAGCCCAGCCTGCACACTGCAGCAGAGATGCCCACCTGCCACAGAGCCCAGCCGGCAGCCAGATCGCAGCCAAAATGGAGAACTGAGTGGGCTGCAGGAGGAAGCAGGAACCAATCAAAGCATTTTAATGTATAAAAAAAGCTGAACTTATAAAAATTACTGTTGGATCCCAAGGAGAGGACATGCTGTCACAAAGATGAACACACAAATATGATTAGTCAATGATCAGCTGATCAATTATTCATCTGCTTCCCTGTTGATTTTGCAGGATGGACTCCAAACATGATGAGAAAGCAGAAACACGATCCCACAAAAAATAAACCAACAAAAACAAACGATCTGTCCAGATTTGATACTTACAGACGCTCCCAAACAGGAGGGTCAGCGATGCAAGCTGCAGAGAAAGATCCCCATTGTCAGTCTACCCAAACCTCAACAACAGATGCCTCAGACAGGAAAGGGCAGGGTCTGTCTGGAAGAATACAGGGACAGTAACGAAGAGGGCGAGGGAAAGGAGCCGAGGAGGGGCGTGGATTATATGTAGCAATGGTGAAATCACCAGTAGGAGGAGCTGAAGAACCCAATGGATGAAGAGGGGGGCAGGGAATATGGAAATCAGCTGACATCTCAGGATCAGAAGCCTGTCTGGTGCAAAGGGGCTCGGCTTGTTTTTTTTTAGCCTCCACCCCTAAACCTTAAAAGGACAAAGGATGCAATTCATTGCATGGAGGATTTAATTTCCTAGTAAAAATTCATAGGCTTTAATATCAATATAAATGTGACCTGAAAACATTTTTTGTACCAACTGGTTGTATTCATCCACATAACATTATCTCTGCTTAAAGGAATACAATAGAATTAAGCTATGCTGCAAAAGAGAGAGAACAAATATTTCAGGAATAATTTACAGCACAGGTATAAAAACAAATTATGGTAAAATTTAAAAAGGAAAAGAAAATCAGAAGCTGATTAATGGAACAAAGAGAAAAAAATTTGAAAATATGGAATATAGAAACAAACACTTACAGAGCAGGTTAAAAAACTGTTCTGATTGTTATGTAGTTAAAATTTTGATATATATATTTTTTAATTTCTATAAGGCAAATACTGAGTAGAGTGGAAGCTATGCAAGTAATTCTTGACCAAATCAAAAACCTGTAAAACCAGCATGTTTGTAAACAGTTATTGGGATTGTTGAAAGCATCAAAGATGACAAACAGCTGTGGGCAATGGCGTAACTATCTATAAGCAGAGACTGCAGTTGCTTAGGGGCCACAGACCTCTTAGGGGCCCCCTCACTGACACCTGGTAGGCCCCCTACGCAATTATGGACTAGGATGTCTCTTTGCATACGTAATGTTGCGAAAAAATTCCTCTTAAAACCCATCTGATTTTGAGATGACTGACCGGACCTTTTTATACCGCAAGACATGGCAGATTTCAACATGATGGTGAGCCGTTTAAACACGACACCAATAGCAAAGCAGACAATGGTACTTTTAATTACTATGTTAATAACTGTGTATACTTCATTAGACGGTTGGTAATAAATAAACACGATCCTAAAAGAACAATGTATTTGTGTATTTTATTTTTTAAACTATTACTTCAAATTATGGGTAATCCAGAGTGTAGTGGGGAATGGGGTGTTGTACTTTATATGGGGCCCACCCAGATAATGTGGCCAATTGTTGGGTCGTTACGCCATTGGCTGCTGGGAGGAAGGATCTGTGGAAGCACAGCTTTTAGTGTCTAGGATGCAAATATCTTTACGCTCTCCAATCCAGGCCTCATCGGTCACTCGGTGTACATCAGAGTGATCACCATGGCCAGATATAGAAGAATCATGGCCCGTGGGCCAACAATAGTGAAAACAGTGGGGGTGGGGGGGTTATGTTCATCCACAAAACTCTGTTACCACCAAAGTGGTCTTTTTTGTCAGACAATAATTTGCTAATATTATTTATGAATTGAACATAAAACAAGACAAAAAGTATTATTTCACCAATTTAGATTCATATATATATATATATATATATATATATATATATATATATATATATATATATATATATATATATGTATATGTTCTCTCTTTATTATTTCATATATCAGATGTACTCATTGAACATTGAAAACTGCTTCTACAGAGTTGTTTCTCTCCACATCGCGAGGAGTCAGCTAAGGTGGCTTGAGCATGTGTTCCAGATGTATCCTGGACTTCTCCTTCGGGAGGTATTCCAGGCCTGTCCCACGCGATGAGACCATGGGGACGGCCTAGGACAGCTGGAGGGACTATGTCTCTCAGCTGGAATATGGAAAGCCTCAGAGGAGCTGGAGGAGGCTTTTCGAGAGGGAGAAGTCAAGGCTTCTCCAATGAGACAGTTATCCCCTGAGTTTGATAAAGTTAAAGACAACAGTGAACAATAATGACAACATGAACTTACATAAATACAAATTAATTTAATACATGGAAAGTACAGTAGATTTATTTGCATTATGTCGGTTCTTGTCCTAATAAAGTTTTTTCTCCAAAAATACTTTAATCTCTTTTTTCAAATAGTTGTGTATTTATTCTCTGTCAATACAAAACAAAAAACACCCTAAGTTGGTATAAACTAATTATGCAAGCCGTGCAAATGGTAAGTTAACATTATTACTGAAATGAACCAAATTTAAAAGACAGTGTTATACCTTTCCATGGAGAAAGATGGGCTTAAGAATCCTCAGGGTAAGGCAGAGGTATGACTTTTTTTTTTCCTTTTTAAGGTTGTATTCTATTTGGAAATCCGAAATGCCATAAGACCTATGCAGGGTTTGAGTTCTTATTAATTTGAACATAAACAATGAAGCAGAATTATTCATGCAAATATTAAAATGAATCACAGTGGATGAGTCTGCTTTCACTACTGGATAGGTAAAGGAAAATACTTAAGGATTTAAAACATCTGGTTTAAATCAGCACTATTACTATCAGCAATGGTGCACACCTTTGAAAAGCAAGCTATATCTAAGAAGACCGTGAAAATACAGTGTCTCTTTATTGTTTATAAAGACATGAATGCAGGAAGATGAGGCTGTATTACGATGTGCAGTTTTGTGTTCATGGTGAATGTGCTGATACATTCAGTGCGGAATTGAGGTTAAGGGCAAACAGAGACTTCCCTGGCTTTACTCTGCAACATGGTGTTGCCATGGAGACTACATCCCGCTTAGTCAAGATGGTTCCTGCAGTCTGGCAGCTACAGTGAACAGAGCACCAGCAGAAATGAGATTGTCCCAAGATATCAAAAATATCGACTGCAGTCGAGTATAAGGACAGAATAACATTCTGGACCAATTGTTTGTTAATTTTTAATAAATCAAAAGTAAATGAAAAACAATTATCATATATTATACTTATTTTTTTAAGTATACTAACAATTTGAATTAGGGATGTACAAATCTGTATAGAATTTAACTGAAAATATACATGAACTAGACACAAGACATAAAAGCTGTTTCTCAGGCATGCAAATCCTTATTTACTTAATTTATTTCTACATACGGATAGTTGCATTAAAACAAAGACACAGCACACATTAAGTCAAAGATCTTTGTATCATTTCAAGTTTATACATCTCAGTCATTTAAATAATCTATTGCAAGTAAACACTAACAGCAATCAGCTTGATGATCCCTATTATTAGCCCATCTTCATTCAATCATATTTGCTCATCAGTGGCACTTTTAAATAAAATAGTTAACCATTTGCACGATTATGGACAAATGATGAATGATTCAAAAACACACATTAGGAATTCCTTTGTACATCACAATGACGGTTTTTACCTTTTCTCCAAACTAAAGGTGGACAATGAAGGTGTACGTATTAAGCTTTGCTGTCTGATCATAGGTTCTATAATAGTTTTCTATAATGTGTAACAACTTGCAGCTGAAGTTTGAATCTGAATTATCTTTCTTTAACAAATACTGCTCCTCATTCAGCTCTGCTCCGATGCAGACAGCCTTTGTAACACTGACCCATTTCAGAGAAAAACAATAGCTGAATTCAGCTTGGATCGGAGAGCAGCAGCAAGCATCTGCTACTTGCCTGAGCTTCAATGGCAACAAGGCCCAGAATCGGAGCTTACAATTAAATTCATCATTGCACAGAAACGTCTATCGCACAACCAAATAACATTTTTTACAATTTTTATTTCTGAATTTCAGAATATCTTCTAACCTCAACACTCTCAACACTTCCACAACACTTTCTGCTCTGAATGTCAAACCAGACCAAGTGCACACAATGTAAGCGTTTTCTAATTCCTCTAAAATACGACTGCATGTAAATATGTTCAATAAAATCATTATCTAAAGATTTAATTGAAATTGAATGTAAATATTGTGCAGTGTGTGCCCATGGTTCTCTCAATAACCAACTTACAAATTGCCTGCAAAATGCCAACTCTTCCCCATCAACTAACTTACTGTTCACTCTCGCCATCTAGTGGTAAAACCTTCAAAATACCTTCTTTTAAAATAGAATTCCAACAATTTTTCACCTTCTCGCATACCTGAAACCATCCATAAAATTCAAATATAAAAATGCTACACTCTTGTCTTAATAACTAACGAATAACTATATTCAGTGTAATTAAGTAAAATATAAATTATGTTAGATTTCATTTATTAGAAATTATTTAATCAGTTATGAATTCTTATGCCTACACACTGGAATCTGTACCCCTAGGAGCAGTTTCTTTGCTGATCGGTGACCTGCTAATATCTCCCAAGCGTCTAAAAAAACTGAAAAAACCAGAGGTCTCAGTCTTAAACCAAACACTCCTGGGGAGAATGTTTTCAACATTAGCCTGCGGCTGTGTGGCTTTGCACTCCACTGACTTCTGTTCATTGTTCTCCAAAACCCCTCCTTTTAAAACCTGGCCTGAACAATCATTGGGTTTAATTTTCTTTTCAGCAGATGGAAAATTCTGATCTACACTTTGAGATTTTTTTATCTTGTAAGAATTGTCAGTGAAATCAAACGCTGGTTTTGTAGCTGTGTGTTCAACGTCCTGTCCTGGCTGAGGTTCTTTGGTTTTTGTCACAGAACCTGGACTTCCAGTGGTAGACTGGGTCCGCAGATTTTCTTTCTCTCCTTGAGTTTTAGAAACTTTAGTAGGCACTGTGTGTCTGCGGCCGAGGGTGCGTTTCGTGGAGGTCTGAGGGCCGAGCAAAAACCGAATCAAATCCTCATTGGTTGGGTCTCCAGGATACCTTTGCGTTTCCTCGTCAAAGGTGAGTTGACGAGCCAAGGTTTTCTTAGCAGGAGGGGATTTCTGGTTTTCCAATGGGTGATCCACAGAGGAAGCACTTCCACGACTGTTCTGGTACCTCAATACCTTTTTAGAGGCTTCACGCAATTTCTGGGCCTCTTCCTCATTATTGTCCAGTAAATCCTCCTCCTCATCATCATTAGTATTGGCAGAGAAAGACCTAACTGTGGGTAAAGGGCTGGTAGTTACTTTGGATTGGCTTGTTAAGTCCTGGCAATCCTTAATTTCTGGTGTTTTAGTATTTTCTTCATAGGTAACCATGTTTCTTGCGTTATTTTCTTCAACATGATACTGCGTCTGCTTTTTTGAGTTCTCTGTGAGTTCTGTTGCAGAATTCCACTCTTTTCTGAACATATCTTTGGCTCTAAAAGTGTGCCTGTGGTTTATAGTTCGAATGTTTGTCTGAGAGCTGATCTCTGAAAGGCTCCCATTAACTGGGCTCCCTCTTGTGGGGCTCCCATTGGTTGATGAAGGCCTTCCTGATTTCCTCCTAGAGATGCGGTTGGTTAGGACGTTTTGCAGAATGCATTCTAAGGCAATACCCTCCATTTCCTTGTCTCTACTTGAACAGGTAGCGGTAGACCGGCGCTTGGCTGTGTTCTGCAATCTATCGATGTGTTTCCTTTTCATCTCTGCCATCTCTCTGGCCTTGTTTTCCTGCAAAAAAAACCAAAACACTCAATGTCAATGAATCAAAGCAAGAGTTTTCATTATTTAACTAAGATTTAAAAACATCAAAGCATTTACCTGCATAGCCCGGATAAACTTTTGGCAGAAGGAATGAAAGATGGAACAACATTCCTCCAGTTTAAAACTTGCAGAGTCTTCACAGAAGTACTCGGCCACAGAGTCGCTTACAGCCTGTAGTTCTTCAAAATCACTTTCTATTTCTTCCAAACAAACATCAGCTTTCTAAATTGAGACCAAATAATGAATTAGAAAACAGCCTCATCATTTTATTCAGAATTACTCGTGTTCAAAATGTCAGACTGCCAACACTTACCTTTAGAAAATCTTCCATCTGCTCCTTTAGTTCCTCCTGTTTCAAGGTGTCTGCTTTGGCGACCTGTACTTTTCTTTTTTGTCTTTCAATCTCAGCTTCAATGTCAGCTTTTGTTAACCTATAATAATGTTCAACAGCTTTAGCAACATTTAGATTGAATTGAAATAAAAAAAAAAGGGCAAGCAGATGGTTTTCTAAAGATTTACCTTGATGCGGCTTCAATGTGTTTGAGTTGTTCTGGAAATTTAAGAAGCGCCACATCTACCTTTTGTGCTTGCTGTGGTAAACACATAAGCCAGTTTAAGAATCAGACATTTAGTCACAAATCATCACATTGATTTCAGCTGGTCAGTGGTTGCAAAAATCAGTAGGGAAACAGCAAATTTCTCAACTGAAACTTGGATAAACTGAGTACCAGAAGAGTTTAGCGGCTATCAACATGCTTTAGGTTTTTTTCCTCTTTTTGGAGTTGTTTTTGCTGTTGTTGTTTTTTCTCATCTCTAAACACATATATGCGTTGAACCCTAAAGCTACATTGTTTAATTTTCTGTGGTCTAATGGTCGGACTGCAGTGACATGATCCGCTCCCCACAGCACTTCTCCCGCTCCAACAATACAGGCGCCATTATGGAACAGAATGTCCAAAGTCCGCACACACCTATCTTATCATGTGATGACCAGGTTTGTTTCCATAGATAATTTAATAAATAGTATTTTATTAGCCTCAGACAATGAATATACCCGTTATTTGAGAAACTTTGTCGTCATGTTTTAGTAAGCTGCTTAGCATAGTGATATACGCAGACTAATAATGTAGTTTAATTGTATAGCACGATTTTGTTGATTGGAAGCATATATATTCCCCATTTACAGAGTCCAACTCTTGACTGTGGCACGGGGGTTTTTAGAGGAGATAGAGGGCAAGGAGGCCGCAGTGGCCGTGCAGCCAGGGCCAGGCTAGGGAGAGGTGCTGAGTGGAGCCGGGGAGGCAAGATTTGAAGCCCTCCAAAGGAGAGGAAGGAGTAACTGAAGACATGTAGACCTACATGATCTCTGTAATACAAATACCGGTAACCCCAATTCATCATTTTCTATTTACAGCTCAGAGCGCTAAATGTAGTAAAGTTACTACAAGCATAAATGCTAGAGAGTAACACCATCCTTCGGCATGTTGCTGCCATTTATTGTTTACTACCATCTCAGTTCAACCTTCTATATCACATTCGAGCCTAACGGCGATCTCCTCAGTAACTAGTTTCATCTCTAAATGTCTGCCTCTATACATGCCAGACCTCCTATGTAATTATTATAAAGACCAATTTCTAAGGCAACTCAAACATAAAGATGAGACTTTCAGTATGTAGATGACAATAAATGAAATATTTATATAAAAGATCTGTAATTCCCTGTAATGCAGTTCAGGCTGGTGGTGGTGTGTAATGGATTGGGGGAGATTTTCTTAGCAGTCTTTGAGTCCCTGGGAACCAACATAGCTTTAACCCCACAGTCTAACAGAGTATTACTGCTGACCATGCCCATCGCTTTAGTGCTAAAATGTACCCATCTTCTGACAGCTACTTGTGTCTGGTTAATGGACTATGTGAGGATGCTCAAATAAACATTAATCACTTTTCTTCAATTGTGAGTTCCACTTTTGCAAGTAGGGGTAACAGTGACAATTTTGAGACTAATTACTGATGAACGGCAGATAGACAAAGCCCTGAGCAGGTCTACAGGCAATTTAGACTAACCAAATACAGTCAATCAAAATGAGAACTACTTGCCATCACAACATAATGCATAAGATTCATTCCAGGTTTGTTTGCTTTGGTATCCGCCAGCTTCAGGAGAGATGACATACGGAAGCCAATAGCACTGCCAGCATAGCCACCCTGTGAGCAAACACATATCTTTAGATATAAGATGAAGAAAACAAATGTATCCAAACACTCAAATGCAAAGTAACTGCTTACAGCATTCATGTAATTTCCTGTTTTTAGCACCAAGCGAATGACAGAATGTAGATTATCACACTCCAACAGCTCTAAAGGAAGAAATGTAGTGTCAGCAATGAAAACGAATGCCTTCCAGTTCTACTTTAAAAGTCTTGGATATCTTAAAACACATCAAAACAACCATACCCTTTCCAGCTTCTGTCAGAACGCCAATGAATTCTTTTATTTCATTCATGAGGGTAAAGAATTCCTCCTTCAGCACCAAGCAGCTCAGACGCTCTTCATAACTAAAAGATCAAATGTATATCAGTGTTAGGCCAGCCTTGAAAATGTTTTTAGATCACCTTAAATGTTTCTTATTTTGTCAGATTACAGCAAGAAACTTCTAACAATTTTACAAACATTTTGATAGACCAACACAACACATTGATGTATAATGAAATGATGAAATAAGAAATAATGAAATAATGAAATAAGAAGGAAAATGGTGCATGGATTAACTTTTTTAACAAATAAAAACATAATAAGTGTGGGGTACTCTCTTCTATAAGACCATTTTAGTCTGATACCTCTAAGTCCATATAGGTCATGCATAACATGACCTATATGTAGATAAAGATGTACTCTAATGGCCTCATAGGTTTGGAGAGAAACATTTTTCAATAAACAAAATCATACAGACTAATGACCTGATCTTCAAAGATCCCAAATACTTTTCACTACATGCAATATGTGGGTGTGTTGCAGCTGATCTACAAAAAATGCTGCACAAATGTTAGGATATGTAAACTGATTTTAGTTCTACCCATTAAAATGAGTAGATTGTATACTACAGGCAGCTGAGATTGGTCATAAAAGAAGACAAGGTTCTAAGCCATGGACATGGAGGCAATAATGAAGTATTAGAAAAAAAATGATGATACTGAATAATATTTAAAGTGCACTTAATATCCTATTAACCTAAGCTCATGGTTATGCCCCCCAGTTGTTTGGAAGCATCATTAGGTTATAAAACAATAAGTTATCAACATTTCCCAGAACACTTTTCCATTCATCACCTGAGAAAAGAAGGAAACAGTAAAGCGTAATTGCAAACCCAAAAAGACATGTCTGTTTTTTTAAAATAACAGATATTGGATGGATAGAATGACCCGAGAAGCAGCCAAGAGGCCAATGGCAACCTGACAAAATTAATTGACGGGGAAACTATTAGTTGGCTTGTGCATGCTCTTGCACACGTTTAATAGGCATCCCCTCTCGGGAGTGGGTACAAGGTACATTGGACTGTTTATAAAATAAAATAAAATAATAGAGATGGACAGTACATCAGTATTATCATTATCAGCTAATATTTGTCATTGGAAACATACTGATTAAGCATCCAATAAATAAAACTAGGTCAATATTAAAAAACAATGTTTATTTCCATCCGGTTTGCATTTTTAGAGGAGAGCATTGGTCATGTGGTGCTTGTTTGGTCATGTGAAATTGGCAAACATGTAGCAAAGGATTGTGGGAGTTTATCTGAAGCAGATAAGCAATCTCAGCAGTGTGTTTCATGGTGTTAAAAAGGTGAATATAGGACACACTATTAGTAAAATTAACTTATTGGGTATAAAAACCATGTCATTATTAGATTTCTATATGGATCCAAATTTTCATATCGATGAATCCCCAAAGAATAGCATTTATAGAGGTATTTGCTAACCTGGGCATCTTTATCAGCATGAGCATAAAAAGATCAGCCTCAGGAAGGGCTGAGGGGTCGCCTTTAAAACCAACCAGCTGCTTCATCTGAATTAAATAAAAACAAAAATGCAAATTTTCAAACCAACTGATGTTTCTCTTTGTATATGCATTTATTAATAATGTTCAACATTTAAAAAATATATAATTTAGTAAATGCATTAAATACCTCCCCTTCATCTGGCAGCAACTTAGACATTTCTCTCAGTTTTCCTGTTCCAAAACTGAGACCATTTCCCGACTGAATGTCCTGGATCAGATCTTTAACAGGGCTGTGGATAAAGGTGGAGACATGGGAAGGATCCAAATTACTAGTCATCACAATTACAATGGAGTTAATGCTTGTGTAGGCCTGTGATTTATGAGCTGTAAATCCATACTAAGGCCATTCTATTGTATACTTGGAAAAACTGAGTTGCTGACATCTACAAGACTCTGCCTGCTTGAAATAGTTTGCAAAAACAAAATTTCAATCACAATTGAGTCAGCTGCTGTCTTTGACTCAAAAAAGATTGATCATTCAAGGAAAAAAATATATAGTTTTTTTTGGAGAAGTAAATAGCAATTCTAGTACATTTACATTCCAGTGACTGTTCTAATTCCTCTGCTGTAGAATGTCCTACCTGTTCATTCCTACATGTTTTACAGGATTAACAATGATATACTGTTTTCCTGTTTGGTCTGCTGCGTTTGCCAAACAGCATCAGACAATGCATTTACAAGACTTTTCAGTTACTGATCTGCAACTGAATACCGCAGGGAGGTCACAACATAGATCAGACCTGTCTGGGCCTGTCGTCTTGCAAAGGCTTGTGAGTGTCATGCAGCCCTGCGCGTACAGATCTATCTGCCTCATCATATGCTGTTTTCCCCCTCAATATGAAGTAACTATTGTGCAAAAATGCTTACACCCTAAAATCATAACCTCTGACTCACCGCTTGAACTGCTTGAGGAATATTCCAATGTTCATGCTCCTCTTGGAGCTGAGGATGGTAACCTGGAAGTGAAAAAAGACAAAGACACAGCTATCAGTGTAATTTGTCCAGATCATTTCACTATTGGCTTGAGAAGCATCTTTTATTATCACATACATCACAGTGTTCCCATAAAAACACAGCTAAATCCAAAGGTTAAGGTTTTCTTTTGAGCTGTTTGTATCGAACAGTCTGAGTAGAGATAGCCTTGTGTTCTGAAACGTCAACATATTTACTTAAGGGTCAAAAAAGAAACATAAGGCCAAGTAAAAGTTTATGAACTTGCTTTAACTCATTTTATATGACAAAATTGCATCAAGTTGCATCTACAAGCGATCTATAATAAAGGACGTTTAAGTTAAAAGCTGACAACTATAGGTTCTACTGTTCTCTGAGGAAACAATTATGCCTTCCTTCTGCAAACATGATCAATGGAGACTCCACCCTTGCACTGAGTGATCCCACAGCCATACACAATGTTCCTATGATACATAACCGTTTCCAAAACAGTAGTTACAATCGACTTCAGTGTGTAGAAACTGTTAAATGTCTTCAGATGTGTGTTTTAGTTTCCCTTCATTTCAAGTAGCTAAGAAAGTGGTCATATGTCCATTTCTACTAAACTGTTTGCAGGCTTTAAGAATTTGTCAGGATGTTTTCTATTTATCTCCCATTCAGGCTAAGGAGGGGGAAGAAAACAAAAATCAATTGAGGTCAAAAGAACACACTTTCATATCTTCATGTCACAATGCAAAACCACCCAACGTTACAATCTATTTCTGTAACCCCCTTAAGCTCATGTTTCTTACAGACAACCTGTTAAGGCGAGATTGACCAAACTCACCATCTCTCCTCCAGTGCCAGACGGTAGCTGCCCCCTAATACTCAAACGGTTCAGACCCTTTGGATGTTGCTGGCCGTGGTTATGGCTGAACAACTCCTCCATGTGATCGGTGTCCAGCTCAAACCGCCCATCCGTCTTGTCTGCTGTCCAGATGTTGTGCTTTCCTATCACACTATGTTTGGGAAGAGTTTCCCAGTTAAAATTGCGCATTCTGGACCTCCGGCGGTCTCCCCAGCCCAGGAGGCCACCTCCATGCTGGGGAAGTCCAGGAGCTGGAGGTGGTGGAGGAGGTGGGGGTGGTGGGGGTGGTGGAGCAGGAGGATTTACTGGTTGCATCTTTGAGGGTCTCAGTAGCTTTATGGAGCAATAATGATCCTGGTTGAAAAGATACACAGAGTCAGCTTTATACAAACTGGATTTTCTTTAAAAACTTGTTCTAAAAACAATCTAAGTTAGTGAAACATTCTAAAACTAGATTTTGAAAGGATATATGAATAAACAAAAAATATATAAAAATATTACAGAAATTCAGTAATAAGTCAAATAATCTTTTGAATCTTTTAGAAGAGTTCATGAAGGCATACAATCAGGCATTTACAGCCTAAACACATTATTATCAACATGTTTTGCTTTTTTCTTTTTTTTTGAGCACTAATTAGGTCTAATTATCATGTTACCTTTATTCATGTTTACCATATTTATATATATGCATTTATATTTATTTTATCCAAAAAAATTACATTTGAACTTCCATAATGCCATACTCCTGTTATCTTAAACTGTCATCATCTCTAAAGTTTTTAGTGGGTAGTTTAAACAGTGAAACAGACATCGTACCTGTGAATGCCTGTGTGAAGCAGCTCCATTTTCATTCTTTAGGATCGTCCTGTTCCAACCAAAGGCGCACAGCAGCGGGAACCAGGACGCACTGAGGAGAGAGTGTCGAAATCCGCTGCGGGTTTGACGACACGCCCAGGTGAGTTATTTATTTCCATGATATCCCACGCCTTCCAAACACAGGAGAGTCCCGGAAGTTTGGCATTTGGACTAAAGTTGTTATTTCTGGCATGCGTTGGTTAGAGTTTGTGGCCCCGCACCAACTGCCGCAGCTCATGTGAGCAGACCGCTGGATTCTCAGACTGCCTGATAGGTGTCCTATCTGAATTCCTATTGATTTGGTGAATTTCTGAACGATTTCCCTCAGCTGAGGCACACTAAAATAGTCACAGGCTGTAAACATGCAGCTCATTTATTCCTCTGACCTGTTATTCTTTTATAGTCCTTTTTAATTTTTATCATTTACCTGATCGAAATGCTGTCCAAGGGTTAAAATACAGTGGCCTGACTCACATACAGATGACATGAGTTATCATAACAAATTATCTATGATTAAACAGATTTTTTTGAAAAGCTCAGACGTGTCTGTTTCAGCTTTAAAGTGAAGAAATGCCCTAGAGGGTACCCATCTGACAACATGAAGAAGGCTCAATGGTTTTAGAAAAGCAACATAAAGACAAAATACTTTAATAGCAGATGAGAAAGAAAAAAAAAAACTTACTGAAGCTTGTCAGAGGACCCCAGTGAAAGCTATTATCCAAAACTGAATAGTTTGTTTGCACTTTGGAACAGTGATGAACCTGCAGTTACTTCAAAAATTGATTGATAGCTTCCCTAGGCAATGGAGAACATGACACCATCTACATAACAGCAGATCTTACTGGAATTAGTGAAATGCAGTGTTTTTATTTGAACAATTATGAGGTGGTGTAAATTGTCCTCCATAGGAGCTGTAGAAAATAATTAGGAGGAAATTCTCTGGACTGACAATATGTGGATAATTTTGGGTGTGTATTCCATTATATCTGGCTCTAAAAAGCAGCATCAGATCATCAGAATGTTATTAAAGCATGGTGGTGGTATGCTAGTGGCCTGGGGCCGTTTTACTGTTTAAGCCCCTTACCGTCTTGTAACTAGAGTATGTCTGACCAGCAAATGGGTTAAGTGGCAGGAGAATGCAAATACACCATAAAGGCTACTAAAAAATCAAATAAAAAATAAGATTCTGGAAGTCAAATTTAGCCCTGTTGAGATCATATGGAATAATCCTAAACAAGCTGGTTTTGTTTCATGTTGTCTCCAGTGTGATCAAAGATGGAAAGCAGTGGAGGACTTGTGTTCTATAAGATCCAATTAAAAATGTGGTTTTGTTTGTTATTGTCTTTTGAACGTGAGCTTTGTGTATTTTCAGTCTTTTGAGCTTAGATTCACTGGAGAGAAGTGAAAGGTGAAAATTTTAATTCCATTATTGCATTTGTTAGTTTTATGACTCAATGCACCATGAAAATAACGTCAGACTAGATTGTGGTAAATGCTTTCTGTTTTTACAAACACTCCCATTCCCTAAAGGTAGGACTGGAAATAATGATATAATATACTGAATGAGATATTCATGGAAAATAAGTACATATTAAAAGTTCAGACCAATTCTTTAAATGTGACAGCAATAGGTCAACCACTGTGAGATCAATATAGTCAATCAATCAACCACTTTTAACATCCAGCACTTTATTGGAATCGCAGAGGAAGGAAAAGCACAGCCATCTGACAACTTAGGACCTTCAGTATTACACACTGCCATATAACAAGTGGATAAAGAAAAATATGAATAAAGATACTTTTTACATTCTGTCTTGGAAGGAACACTGACTTTTGTATTTAAAGTAAAGTGCATTTACAATTAAGTATTTACTGGTTTCAGTTTTACAATGAGGCTTAGAATAAGTCTCACAGCCTGTTCATTGCTTCACAGACAGATCCTGTGATACCCCAAAAAACTTATGACCACAGATACTGAGTTTGAAGGTTTGTGTCCTTGTAAATGAGAACTATGCATTTTTTAGGAAAGGGAAAAGCACTTTCATTGATGGGAAGTATGGCAGCAGGTTAAATAAGGAGGTTTCTATGTGAACTTTGGAAAAGCAAAGCAAAAAAAAAAAGTTTTTATATTATATAGGGAGGAATTTTATATAATATAAAAGCTAATAGTGGTACTGCACTTGTTAAAACATACCGTTTTTAGGGATAACCAAACCAATGTCTCTATATTTTGTTTTTCAGAGTGAAAAAAAATGCATTTCCATTATAAGTTCATTTTAACAACCCTTTTAACAGGTAATTCACAAAGTAACAGCAGAAACACCCTCGGCCAATTTGAAATGGTCAATAAACCCATATGTTTAAAATAAAATAGTTTGAAACGAGCAGATCATGATTGAGAAAATAAATACCATTTAGGATGATATGTGATAACATTATGTACACTTTCTCAGTGATGTATGATTTCAACTTTTGGAATTTCTAACATTTTATATACAGTAACATGTTAAATGCATCTATAGGCAAAGAGCAAAGAATAATGTGCAAAACTGTCCAAGGGAACCTCCAATAATACAACACAATCTGCACATGAATATGTGATGCATCGGTGAAGGATTGTGCCAAGTATAAGGAAAGCGAAATGAGAGTTTTGTGATGCACTAGAAAATAATATTTCCATCAATGACATAAAGGGAAAAAATATGCAAAGAAAAAAAAACGCATTACAAACTGTTCCTATCAGGGTCCCTACAGATTCTACAATAACTTCCTTTAATCGTTTCCTTTATATCATTCTATCAAGTCATCAGTTGTGTCATTGAAAATTTCAAGATGAAGATGAACCTTGAGGGTCCATTACTGCTCCTCCAGCCAAGAAGGCTTATCTGACCCTGGAGGCTTTAACTTTACATTGAACTGTATAAGAGTTTGTTCCAACTGCTGCTGGTTTCCAGCAAAGTAAGCTGAGATTGCATTATGGAAGAGAAGCAGCTGCTTGTGCATCACCTTCACCTGGAGGGAAAAAAGAGGAACAGGAAAATTAGCTTACTGCAAGCAAAATCGTCTTTAATCTTTTTTTTATTTTGTTTCAAAAACCAGCACAGAACTCAACGTATTTAAATGGGACTTTATGCGTTTGCTCAGTTCAAAACAGCCCCAAATACTAAGAAGGAAGAAACAAATGAAAGCCTGCTTATGGCTTTCCTTCAGCAATCCTGCTACTTTTGATAAAATCTTATCGCAGGCCTTCTACTTTCTTCTCTATAAAATGCGTACCTTTCCCAGCTTGTCCAAATAAGCAGCTTTAAGGACACATTTATTATTCCATACTTTGTATTTCATAATAGTGACAGCTCATTGTTATAAGCTTAAAGCATTATTCCAGACAGAACAGCTGGATTCATACGCACACTAATGGAGACTAATGATTAGGTGCAGGGGGGGATTTACTATTAGGCAATACTAGGCAGTTGCCTAGGGCCCCAAGTTCCTGTATGTATCATTAATACAACTATTCCTTATTTGTGCACATTAATTATGTTTTTGATTAAAATCCATTCGCTAAAATGCCATCAGAGTCCTTAGAATATTAAGTGTGTCTCAGCCCCCCCTTCAGTGTCCACCACATTGGATCAGTCCATTTGCTGCACATGTTCAGAAAGGTCCAAACAGACAGCAGCAAACCATTTTAAAATAAACAAGGCAAAAAGTAGTGTTGCCAACTTTTGTCGCTATATTCAACGACTTTTCAGACCCCTCTAGCACTTTTATTAAAAAAAAAAAAAAAAAAAAATCTAGCGACTTTTTTCGTCTAGTGGAGACTTCGGCAACATCATATAAAAGAACCGAACTCTGCTCTCCAGAGCAAGTAGATTTGTAACCCCGCCTCCTGCTCTCCTCTCTGTTGTCATGATTCATGCAGCTATTTAGTTTATCCAAATGAAAAATGAAGAACAGATAAGCAGATCATGGCTTGTCTTTTCAGTGAAAAGAATGACTGTTATTTACTTGGAAAAAATCTTTCATTCCTTTTGAGACAGCATGAAAAGTCAGCTGAGTACAAAACATGGAGAGGAAAACAACAAGAAAAGGGACAAGAAGAGAGGGACAAAACATAGAAGAAATAACGTATGTCTATTCTATTAACATTTCTGTATCTGTATAATGGGTCTGTTTTATGTGTCGTTTTCTTAATTCAGAGGGCCCCCGGCCTATCTTTGCCTAGGGCCCCACATTTCCAAGATCCGCCCCTGATTAGTTGATATTGGTTACACTCGATTAGGTTTGGCTATATCAAAGTAAAATAGAAATGACTAAATATAAATATTTATCACACTTTTCAGATTAAAATTGATTAAAATGTTGAAAGCCTTACATAATTTCATCCACTTGAAAATTCTGCACCTCTGTGTGGATTTATCACAGAAGGAAATAAAACACATTAGAATTTAAGGAGGTAGTGAAAGAGAAATAAATGTAACTATAGCCTTTGGGAATCTCTTCTAATTCCAGTTATAGGACAGGTTTGTGACTTGACAGATTTTCCCCTTCCAAAACTGACATTTATAGCTCTTTCTTAACCCTTTAACTATTCAATCTATTCTGTTATTTGCTTTTTCTTCTTAATCTGTTTAATTTTTTTGTGTCTTTGACGTCTTCATATTCGTCCTTTGGGTTTTTAACCCCGTAACATCTCATCTTGCATTAGGCTGGACTTCTAATATTCATAATCGTCACTTTTAACTCCACTCCAATTGACATTTAAAGGCTGCACCTTATTCTTCTCCTTGGTTTGAAGCTCGTTTGAGCTCAGACGCCACATCAAACATCGGTGACCTCATACTTTGGGTGTGGTCCCAGTAGTGCCCCTGTGTATGGGTAACCACATCCAATAGTGATGTCATTGGGTCATCGCTGAAGCATGGCAAGCTTTTAATAATGTTGTGCTTATGTAAGAATCATCACAATCCTTTATGAAGACTTTTTCAATTGACAATAGAATAGTTTTAAGGTGGAACAGAGGCTTTTTTTTTTTTATAGAAATAGTAAAATTGAGAAGCGTCCAAGTTTGGAATTAGGGAACTGACATAGCCCAAATAATGAGACAATCTAATTAAAATTTATTTGACAAAAGCTTTAAAATAAATAATCTTAGAGTTTGGTAATTTGCCATCATCTGTTGCAATATATGAAAACTAGAAATAAAAGACCAAAGATTCATTCATTTGTAAATCAAACCTTGTTTTCCTCCAAAAATTTAAGTTTGATGGAGACGTCACTACGGAGCCGCTCATACTTCTCTCTGTGGACCTGGTAGTCTTGCTGAGCCATCTCAATGCGAACCATAGCAGCTGCATCCCTTGGACCCAAGCTTAACTCCTCCAGATCAGAGCGATAGGCATCAAATTCAAGCCTGCAGAATGAAGTACAGTAGAAACAGTAAAATCTTTTTCCAAACCATTACTTTAAAAACATTACTTTTTTTTTACCTTGCATTTTCATACTGTCTAATTGTCAACAGGGTATCCTCCATGGTTTTATTGACCAGGGTGTTCACGCTGGACACAAAGAAGTTGATTGCACCCAGCAAAGCCTCACCATTCTTGCACAGCAGCTTCTGCGTCTCTGCATTATACCCAAATTCATCCTGCAAGAAAAAACCATATTTCACTCACTTGTTTAACACACCGTCCCATGGGACACTGTGAGTTGTGTACCTGAAGCTCAGGGGACTTCTGACTCAGGTCTGTGAACGTGTCCCCGAGAGCCTGCTGCGTTTGCACCATGCTTTGGAAATGAGTGATCAGCGCAGTCGCCAGTCTTAGAATGTTTTCATATTTGCTCTTTGTGTCTCTCAAAACATCGATCTGGGCTTCCAGTTCCAAATCAACGGTTCGTGAACCTCTGCCGAATTTTTCAGAAAACATCTGCTTTGTGCACTGAAAAAAAAAAAGAAACATTAAAAAGAATTCATGGGTCACTATCCAACTGTTTGCCATTGATGCCGTTGTAGGTACCAGACCTGCTAGGTTGGTCCAATTGGACAAACTGTATTGCACCAGTTTCTTAAGAATCAGATCTTTTCTGGAGTCTCAACATGTTATTACCCATTATTGCTATTATTTTACATTTCATCTGCTAACTAAAGTAGCCGAACTTAGAAAACAATCACTTTCAGTCTTGAAGGAAAGCACTGCCTTCTAAGACAGACCTAGCTCTGCCATTTAACAAGGTGACACAAAAAGTCTCAGTGCTTCTTCTTTTTATTAAGATCTGAGGGCGGAGGAGGGGGGGCAAAATGGGACATCTTAAAAAATGACTTTTGCTGAGATTTTAGACAAAGAAAACAGTTATTCTACTAGTAGAAAAGGAACAGTTGTTGTTGATATGAAGTTAAAACTAATGTAGCTTATTATGGCTAACTAACCAAGCTAAAACACGCTAACCTTTTAGCTACTCAGCAAGGCTAGCCACAGCGCTACCCAGCTATACCCCTTTATATCATTGTCTTGCAGTGACTTTGTTCAACATAAACACATTTTTTCAGCTTTGTTATTAATCAAGCAAAACTCCATCGGTCATTAAACTCCATAACACTACAGATGCTCTCGACTCCGCACACGGACGCAACATTGTTATCGTTGTCTGGGCAACCACAATGTTTTATGTCATTTGGCAACTTTCAACCAATCATACAGCGTAAAGTCTCTAGCATGAGCAAGGCCCGACCACATCTGACCAACCGAGCAGTACCTACAGTACCTACGCCGTACTTAGTATATAAAAAGACTACCAAGAGATTTGTAATAGATAAATTATTATCTAGATTATATAAAATCTGGTTTCATATTGCGCGCCAGGTTCTGGACTCTCAGTTCCTCATAAATTAAATTTGATTCAGCAGTAACTTTATTGCCAAAACTCCCAGACATTCCTTATTTTATTGAAAAAAGTCTGCTAGGACAAAACTAAAGTTTAGTTACAACACACGGTTAGGAACCAGTTTTAACGGAAACAAGAGCCTTCCAAAGGTTCCTAGGTCCACACTGAATGTGTAATAATTTACACAGGGGGTTGGCAAATGTTATCTTGGATGTGTACGTAATAAAAATAGTTTATTGCATATTTGCAACAATAGATGTCATGGATTAACATGTCGGCACTTCAGAATTAGAAATCCTTCTTTTCTTATTGCTATCATGTGTACTCTAATGGTAGATTTCCATAAGCTTTAAGGTAGTATTACGAAAGTAAACAAACTAAATAATTAAAGTTGATAAACACTAACTGAACCACTAAAATGAACTTTTAAATTACCAACCAGTTGCCTCTGACAACTGGTTGGTAATTTAGCTAGAACAAAACCAATAAATTTAGCACTACATAACAAATTTAATTAAAACACACACAAAAAAATACATTACCTTGTATGTATTAATGCCCCACTTCTTTACACTGTCCAGTTTCTCCACTGCTACACCACGAGAAACTTCTTCAGTGGAATTGGTGTTATGGTTTATTGACCCTTAAAACAAACAGACAATAAAAGGTAGATACTTGATAGAAGAATGTTTAGATATTTCGGGGGATGGTTCATTGTGTGGGTAATGATGAGAAATGACACTAATGGAGATGAGCTGGGTGATACCTGGGTTTGTGTGATGGGCAAGTCGACTGGCGGAAGCATTACTGTTATGCAAGTTAGCACCCCTGGATTTCATGCGAATGTCTGAAATGAGCATGGTGGCGATGAAGAGCAGGAGTGAGAAAATGGTCACACCAAATGAGGAAGCTGAACAAAATGCACAGGAGCTTAACAATGAAATCCAAAGTTGAAGGAAGATGCAGAAATTTAAAAAACAAAAAGTTTTAAAGTGATGCTGTTATAGTGGTTTTGAGGACATAACGATCCACAATGCAGGTATTTCATGCACAAATCAAACCAATTGAAAAAAAAAAAAGGATTTTAGGGTTAAGATGGAGATGTGGAGTAACAGTAAAACAGTTATCCAAAGCTCAATTTACATGAAGTCAACCTTTGAAAGGACAGAACCATAATATCATGTTAGTACCTTCTAAAATGTGAAAGTTGTCAAAACATTCCTTTTTTTTATGCTGTGAGTCAAATAGAAACAAGCAAAGTTGCATACAATTCGTTCGGTCAAGCAGGGCATAAATCTCTTAAAGAAGGTTACAAATCCCAACTCATAAAGGGTAAGTAAGAAAAATATGTCATCAGAACACACAGCCACCTAGTCCTGGTGCAGCGGTTCGTCTTCTGTCCAGATACTCAGGGTTGTAGCGCACTGCAGGCCCTATGGAATATGTTTGGAACATGAACCAGCAGCCCAGAGGTCACGAGTTCCTTAGAGGCACAATAATATACCAGGAGGAAACGTTCTAGCTCTGCTATAGCTTCCTTAACGTGCATCACATTAGTGAACTGCTTCAGTGGCTGGAAGCCATTCAACAACCCTGACAGATCTCTGGCTAAACTCAGAGCAGCCTGCAACTGACAGGAGAGGAAAAACAGACAGGGTGCTACTTAAAAGTCATGTCTGTCTTGGAACAGTAAATATTTTCATGTTTCTAACACAGAGATTTGAATTGATGCACCTTCAAATTTTAAGCTTTTAAAGAAACCAGCCTTGGCTGTAAAGAAAAGAGACAACAGGACAAGTGAAGAATGATAGTGCGACCTGCTAACGATACCTTTGATGGAGCTTGTAGGAATGATCCCCCCAGCAGGTCCACCGTAGCCTCCTGAGACGATACTGGTTTCATTCAGGTTGGGTCCTGACACCATCACCTGCTGCAGATCCTGAGGAATTCACATCCCCACAGGTTTTACAGGGTTGGAAAACAGATGTATGTATGCACATACATTAATGTATGTGAACACAGCTGAATTTCCCGGTTGGATTTAAATATATTTAGACTCAAAATAAAATAATCGGAAGATTCTCAGTCAACGATTTGCATGTTTTCTAAGCCAAACAAGTAGACTACTATATAAAGCTTCGAACTCAACACAAATTCTGACATTTTGAATTGAAAAAGCTTCCTGAATTGGAAGTGAAGCATCTTAAAACTTGGAAACCAAGTCCAGTGGATTTTTTTTTTTTCTTTTTTGGAAAAAATAATCGGATTATACTGTTTATATAGACGTCAGGAATCTAAACAGTCAATTGCAATAACAATGTGGCAATCGGACACTCATCATGGATAATATCGAGTTGTGACAAACACCAGATACACAGGGACTTGCTCAACAGCCAATACCGCACCTTGACATCACAAACCATCAGGTGGCAGTAGTGCTCTTTGCCAAACTGTTTCCGGTAAAGCACATTCAAAAAATTACTCTTAATTAAAAACCCTTAATTATTGAACCGTATGTAATAATTTCATACTTTAAGTACTTTCAGCAGTTTGTATTCTTAAGCCACATTACAGATAAAAAAAGGTCTTGAAAATGTTTATTATTTAAGTATTTAAGACCTAAAATTGTTTCAGGGCTGTGTAAGCTTTGTTTTATCAACTTTTCTTTTCTATGATGATGCCAGGTAAAAGAAATAAAACCAATAATTCATCCCCATATTCTAAATCCACAATTACTTTTAATAGCTGCAGGTCTTTGGATGGTTAAGCTCACATTTGAGAACTAGAGAAAAAAAAATGACATCAAAGCTGCATCATGTATGAAAATGTGAATATCAGTGAGATGCATTAAAAGCTGTCTGACCTGCTCCAGGCTGTCATCCTCAGTCAGAGTTCCTGTATCTCCATTGCTATTTATGGGGATCTCCATGGTAGCAGCTTTGCTCATGGTATTATCCGCCATGATGAAATCCCTGCAAAACAAGAAATGGTGATTTATTTCCCTCTATTATAGCAAAACCTAACTGTGAATGTCTCCAGAACAGCAGCTTGATAACAACACAGATGCTAATAGGAGCTGCGGTGCTGATGTGGCCGCCTGCTGCTACCTGAGCTAGCTTCCAATCCTCACCACTCTGTTCACAGCCAAGTTAAACGGACAGAAAAATTAAAAACTAATTCTTATTCTAATCGTTTTTAACAACGTTATCCCCGGGAGAACCCATTACTAATCCCAAAGCGTTTACAAGCCATTTAATTCAGATAGAAAATCCCTGCATCCAGTCAGCTAAGGTTTTAAGAAATCCCTTCAAAATAAAAGTCTCTTTGTGTTTATTTTCACATACTTCTTGTGCAAAACATGAACATTTAAAAATGTAATATGGGGCAGAAAGGTGGTTTAGACTGGTGTGAGTGTCATCTGTTACAAAATAAGCTGATGGGATTTGTAAAATTTATTAGATTCTTTTATTGTGAAATGTAATACCCTTAACATAGCATCACCTCCAATCCTCTCCACCCTTGCTCCATCTTCCACGTAGTACTGTTGACGTAGCCATGGCCGTGTAATGTTTTTCATTGGGTGCAGTTTTAAAAAATTCCACTAGATGTCACTATAAGATTGTAGGTAATAAATAAAAGTGGGGTTATTGATCTGTAAACCACCTTTAATCAGATAAAATTCCTGGAGATGTTTTGATGGTGTCTCAAGAGATTAAATAAAAAGGAAATCTATCTTCAGGCATTTCACATCTTAAAATAACAGGATGTAAAATGCCTGAAGTGAGACAGTATAAAACTGACCACACTTCAAATTATTTGCCCCATTTGTTTTAATCAGGGATGCATTGGAGTTGCACATGGTTACCAAATGTGCAGTTTTTTTCTGCAATCATCACACTCGGAATAAAGAACCCTCCCTCCTGCAGATCAGACTCAAAAACACACTTGTTTTGGTTTATCTTCTTAGAAAGACCCTTTTCAGCAAAGACTTCCTTCTTAGAAATGTCTTAAATTGCTTGTCGAGGCTACATGTTGCAGAAAAAACTAACAGAAATTATACGACTCAAGCCATAAAAAATTAGAGAGGGTGTGACTTATTGTTTCAGCCTTAATCAACAAATAAGCAGATCAAAGATTTGTAGAAATACGTTACTCTGCTATGGTACAACCTTTAATTCCTTAAGCATTGGAATGAGGGTTGTTTCGTCTTTGCTCTTGGCCAGATTGCAGTATCTCATCAAATTAGGCTGTGTAAATAGAGTTATGAAAAGCCTGAGGATAGACCTCAGGCAAGTATAATGCTTAACATTGCAAATTGGTTCTCACTTCAAATCACTGGCTCTGTTCTTTTTGAGCAGTTTGTTTCAGTCCTACCAATGATCTTCCTAACAGCTCTGTCCTTTTACTTAGTGTAAGATTGTCGGACTGATCAGGGAGAACAATTACTGCTGGCACATAGAATCTATATGTCTATATCTAATATCAGGACTACTTAAAATATAGACCAAACATAAAACCTAATCTAAAAAATCCTCAGCTTTAGTTGATATTTGATTATACCCAGAAAAGAGCACCTTTCACTACTGTGGAAATGTGATAACCTGATGATTTATGCAGAGTAGCTGCCTCTGGTCAAGTGTTTTGGGTTCAGTGTATCCAATGTTTTATAGCTAGTACTGCCTTAATGAACCACACTAGGTCTTTTAAATGGTATATTGCATGCGGTAAAATTATAGGTTTTTTATTTGCCCTCATTTTATATTTGAACATAACTGTGACATGGTTGAAAACAAAGACATAGCATTATGAATTTCTTATATATATATATATATATATATATATATATATATA